AGAAGAAATACAATCTAGAACACAATATGGTAACAAAGTACACTACGCCCTTCAGCATCTGCTAAAGTCGAAGTGTCTGTCTCGCAAAACCAAGTTCAGAATATATCAGATATTGATAAGACCAGTCGTTTTACGTGGCTCTGAAACTTGAAGCACAACTAAAAAAAGATGAAACCTTATTACAGGTTTTCGAGTCTCACGACGCATCTTTGGACCTATCAAAGATGCAAACAGCGGGGAATAGACCGTTTGAAACAACAACAAATTAGTAGTAGTAGATTTTTATCCCACCAGGTCATCACACAAGCAATAAACACCCGATGACACAAAGTGATACCATGTGGATGATGCTCACCGTGGAGAGGTCCCAGAAACCGCGTTCAGACATTAGACCATATTTATGGCGGGGCTATATTGCGGCCCCTGGCAAGAGTCAGAGTTAGGTTAGTTGCGTATCCTTTACAGGACGTTGCAGAACCAACCCCAACAGCCCCTGGCTGTTGTGTTGTTTTTCTATGCAAATTTACGTCCTGTAATTTCCCATTGCTTTCTGAACAGTCGGCTTTCTTGATACCACTGTCGAAACCAATGCAAGGCGCATGGCCCGCAGCTGGCATCGAACCCGGCATCCCGGCATTACGAAACGTTCGCATCGACTTAGCCACAGAGCCGACAAGAGTCAGAGAAGGGCTTCAAATAACGAAAACTTGCATCTCCCAAGGAGATGACTGGGCTGTTTAAATCATCACTGATCGTTGGCATCATGAGATTCAATAGGGTGAAATGGCTGGGGCATATTGAGAGAATGTCAGATGACAGAGAGGTATAAACTGTACACAGGAGGCAGACCAAGAAGACGATGGACAGATAATCCCTAGAGAGACCTGCAAACACTTGGTGTTACCAGCTGGAAAGAGATAGCCTACCAGAGAGATGAATGACGGCAGGAGAAATCTGCAGCAATGAACCTCAAGGGCTCGGAATGCTGAAGTAGAAGAAGTCTAATCCGCCGGGATCCCATCCCATGACTTTCTGATCCGCAGGCCAGCGTAGTCATTTGTTATCCGTTAATTTTTTAATCAGTGAAGGAATGAAACATAGAAATGCATCGGTCAATGAAGGTTCAGTACGAGGGTTGCATACACGTAGCTGCCACCACTATTTTAAGGTTTTTATTTCAAGACCTCTGATAGTAACAAGGTTAAAACATATGTATTCTTAACATTTTAATTGGTGTTTACTTACCCGTGTGCCTCTATTGTAGGGCCACTTGAAGTCCTGTATGGTCACCCAGTTGAACATGTACTGCACGATGTTCTGGTACTGTTTGTAGTCGTCGTCTATGAGAAAGTCACTTCGAAGCACGGACCCAAAACCAAAGAGATGGCGGACATGGTCAATCTTCAAGGGGAAACAATGAGATCATTATTTTCTTCAGTTGAAATTAAATTTATTATTACTGTTATTTTGACAGTCTACATTTATTCTTTTAATGAATTTTGCCCTTTATGGTGAGCTCAACATAAAATATCTGCTAAGAAATTAGGTGTTTTGGTCAAATGTGAGGAACATAAACATTACCGTTCGGCGATTCCTGACACAATAACTATAGCTTTCCATTTTTATGTTGTCTATTATGTCCACTTCTTTCTATAATTGTTGATAAATACATTGTCTCTTTGTTTATTATATAAAAAATGTTTTACGGCCTTAAGGGTTCCTCTTCTTTTTATTTATGTGTATTAAGTGTCACACAATAGAATCGGCCAATCAAATATCTTGCTTTACAGGTTTATTGTATCCTAGACACAGCATTACGATCATATATGTTTATAATTGTTGTGTTTGTTGTTCAACCTATGCTTGGTTAACATGAATCTCTCTAAGCTATGATCCCATTACAAAGGTTTTGAAATGAATCCTACCTGTATTCCATAGTTGTGTATTTTAGGCTGTTTGATACATGTGACTAATTTAATTAAGCCAACTTTTTTAAGGGGTGCCTAGATAGTCATGCACTTAGTACACTTGTTTCCGTAGTGATGCGCATACGTCGTTTGGAGGTGACAGGTTCGACTCCGGGCACGGTAACTATAGCTTTCAGTTTTTATGTTGTCCACTGTGCCTTTCAACTTCTTTCTATAAGTGCCTCTCAAAACATTGTTTGTTTGTTTATTATACGCTTCAGATAGTCCATCATTCCGTGGATTACGGAGACGTAATCTGGCTCTGTTTCCATCAAATAAGTTAATTTTCTTTGTGGGTAACTGTAGACAATTTTCAGGCATGACCAAATCACCTGACTTGCAGGCTTTTATTCTAACACAAGTGCTGTCATTGCTGAATTTCCGACATCATTTGTGAATTTGTAGCTGCCACTCTAGTAAGAATGTATCGTATCCTTTTTTTCGCGTTCAATGGCTGTTAGCTCCACCAAAAAGTTTTGTTTGTTCATCCACTTCTGGACTCTAGTCTAGTTTTAGAAGCTGGGTGTTGCATGCACATCTCTTTCAAGGTCTGACTGATTTATAGGCAGACTGTTGGTTTCTTGTCTCTTAGGTAGATGTGAGCCGCCTTTAAAGGAAGCTCCCGATTAGTCAACTCTTACAACATACTTTTGGAAAAGCATTGGGTCTGTTCTTGTCTTTCTCCACAATGGGACCCTGGGACCCACAGGGGAAGAATGTATCAAATGATTTGCTGTCTTTTGTTCGAAGTGATTTTTTTTTTTTTTTTTTTAGTTTTTACTGTTAGTTTTCAAGCCGAACCTTGATACAATTGTGGACACAGAAAGAATCTGTTGACCGATCTGATCAATTGTTCTGCAACACTGGAGACACTAATCCAACAATTGTCTTCGCTTTGTTGCATCTAAGACTGACTTCAACTGTCATTATCCCGTCGAATGTTTTATGCATCACAGGTGCTTGAAACATGTCATTTACTTGAAATTTTCTTCGTAATTATCTTTGTTTCTTCTTTTTTTTTTTCCCTATCTTGTAGCCACCGTAACTTCTCTTTCCTTTATGTGATTCTCGTTTTTTGTTTCTATTGTCAGGAAAGAAAATGTGTAACAGTGAAATTATAACCTATCTTCTTTATATACTGTGGCAGCAAAGTAGTTAAAACGTTTGCTTCGTGTTCCTATGTTTATGAGTTTGATTTGTATCCCGTCGGTTGTTCCATGGTTGCTATGTCCAGAGATCCTTGGGAATGGTTACTGCAATTGCAGATTTCCTGTTTTTGTGCAACGCTTTCGCAACCAGCTACCAGATTAAAATCTTGAGGCATAACACTTTCCCTAATGAATTTGATTATCGTGCATGTAAACAGTACAGCGGTGATTTTCCGTCTCATGTTATTTAGTGAGAAGATGTGATCATCAGCAAAAAAAAAAAAAAAAAATACACTAAATTGATATAAGCGAGGGCTTTCCACTTGGCGGTCTGCTGGTTAAAAAAAAAAAAGTTAGCATATGGCCTGCGGATCACCTGCGAATGCATTGTAATAATGATTTGTCTTTGCTTTGGCTCAGGCATCTGGCCCGCGATGATCCCTAATTTCCCAGATATTGGTCCCTGTGTAAATCTTGCTGAATGGCCCTGTACATAAGAGATGAATAAATGGGGATGCACAACACATCCCCACTATATTCCAGATTTGTATGAAACATTTTTGGTATCTCTATTACTGTTTACGGGTTTGTTAACCTCAGTTTCCACATCCAAGACTTACGTCATGGAGTTCTTAAATGTTCTTTCTTAGCCACTGCTAAGTTTAATATGGCCGACTATCTCTGTTTCTGAGACAATGTCGTTGTTTCTTCGCCTTCAGATCGTGTATTTCTCTGTGTGGGTTCCGTAATTCCACTTTGGATTTGAGGGATGGGTGGGGGAAACGAAGTGCCCCTATCAAGCGTGTAGTGATGGGCGACCAATCAGGCAGGGATTTTCAGTTAAGTTTACTCAGGGGCCAACAATAAGAATAAACTCACAGGGAGCAAGTACAGCGGGGATCTACAGTCATCAGTAGAAATTATCCTCTTTCGACACACGTTTCGGCCCACGATTCCTAAACGTATTCGGAGGTGGGCCCACCTGAGTTCATGAAGCTCAGGGCTGCTTCCCCGCTGCACAGAATTACCGGATGGTGTTATTATTTCGGCCAGAGACAAGACGACTTAGTGGTTTCGAAGGAGGTACTGTGAGATAAGAAGTCGCCGCGACAGCGTAATTAGAACAGTCCGCATGCCTGGACGACCGAGCGACAAGCTTACTTTGGTTTACCGGACACATGTTGGACTTTTATTAGCAGTTGGCAGAGGAACACTGGCAGACAATTCGTACACGATGGACTTTTCAAAGGGATAAGAAACTCCTTTCCGCTAGACACCCGGACCAGCTCACCGAGGCCCGTCCCCTACGTTGTTGCGCTGCGTCCACAGCCAGCTAGAGGCCCTTTCGGCTACCTCTCCCAGTTTTTTGAGTGTTCGTTTCCGTTCATTACCGCGCAATCCTAATTCTTTCACCACATTGTAGAGCGAAGTGGAGACGAGGCCTCTCGCTCCCACTTCGACGGCAAATACCCGCACTGTGTAAGCCTCGTTTCTCCTCAAACCGGCTGCTAAATCACTGTACTTTTCGAGCTTGTACAAGTGATTCTCCTCCATACGCGACTCAAACGGGACCGTCAACTCAATCAGGATGAGTTGCCGTTTTTGCGCAGAATGGAGAACGATGTCCGGTCGCAGGCCGGTTTTACGGATCAACTCGGGATACCGTTCATGTCCTGGCAGATCAACCGCCAGTAACCAGTCCCTCGCAGAGTCTAGTACAGATGGAGCGAATGCGTTTTTGTTGACCTTACCGATTGGAACCTGCCCAGCCTTGAGGAAACGAATGGGGGCGATACTAGAACTGGCTCTGGCATTAGCCCTCATTCTAGCCTGCTCGACAACGGCTGCTAACTCCTTTAGCACCTTGTTGTGGCGCCAGGTGTATCGGCCTTGACCTAGAGCTTTCCTGCACGCGGACAGGACGTGCTCAAGAGTTTGCTTCGATTTGCACAACGGGCAAGTCGGATCGTTGGTCGCAGACCATTTAACCATGGTAACACCGGACGGTAATACATCGTACGCCGAACGAACGATAAAGCTCAGTCGCAGCGGGGTCATCCGCCAGATCTCACCCCATGTGAGTATTCTCGGCAATGCGCTCTCCAGGCTGACCCAATGGCCCTGCTGCGACTGCTGGGCAGCTTTCTGGACCCGAACCTCGTTTTCGTTGTCCCTCACCGTTTGTATCACCATGTCTCGGCGCTCTTTGGCTGAGGCCTTTGACCACCAATTGACCTTCCCGTGTCCTAGGCCTCGACGGTCGGTTTGTGTGTAACCCATTACCTCCTTCAATTTTAGTGCGTTCTGAGCAGATTCTATCGCATCGAGGACCCTCCACTTCTGACCAGTCTTTAGAGCGGGCTGGACAGCGATGACATTTGGGTCTGAAGACTCGCGCAGAAGCATGGCGAGCCTTACCTTGCCGACTTTAAACTCTTCTGTTATCGACTTGAACGGAAGTACCAGCTTAGCCTGTTTGCAATACAGAGCCACGTCGGTCAGACAAGGCGGTGCTCCAATCCACTTTCTTAAGGCTGTGTTGATTTTTTTCTCCATGGCTTCAACTGCAGTCATCGTCACCTCGTAGACTAGCAGTGGCCATAGGAGCTTCGGAATCAACATGAATTGGAGACACCATACCTTGAATTTTCCGATCAGCCTGCATCGCTCGATCGCGAGCAGGCCTGTAGCCAGTGACTCATGTATTCGCCGGACTTCCGCTCTGTCAGATAACTTCGAATCGTAAACGCGACCGAGGCTCTTCACCGGTTCCTCCAGAACCGTAGGGATCTTGTTCCTTGCCACCGTAAAACTGATCGCCGACACTTTGCCCTTTATGGATTGACAGACTCCTCGACTTCTGCGGTTTGAAACTGCATACCGCTCCATTGGACCACCGCGTCCAATCTTTCCAGGATCGTGCGGGCAGACTCCTCGCTGCCCGTTATAATAGTCGTGTCATCCATAAATGCGCGCAGTGGCGGCAACCAGTGATCCCCTATTTGAAGGCCCAGTCCGTAGCCGGCCGCCCCGTCCAACATGATCTGCATTGCCATGACAAACAGTATAGGTGAGATCGTACAGCCCATAGCTATCCCAATCTGCAACTCAGTCCACCTCGTGGTAAACGTCGAGGTAGAGAAGCGCAAAGCGAACTTGGAGAAATATTGCTCGACCATTTGACTGATCTGTGTCGGTACGTGAAACATGCGAAGGGCTCGCCACAGTAGCCTATGGGGGACTGCCCCGTAGGCGTTGGCTAAGTCCAACCATATAACGTGCAAATCGGTTCTCTCATGCTTGGCTCTCTGGATAGCCTCCCAGATCATGGTCGCGTGTTCAAGGCATCCAGGAACGCCTGGAATACCACCCTTCTGAACACTCGTATCTATGTACTTGTTAGTCATCAGATACTGTTTGAGCCGGCGAGCCATGACTGAGAAGAATATCTTACCCTCAACATTCAACAGCGAGATGGGCCTGAATTGGGAAAGACTCTTCGAGTCCTGCTCTTTGGGAATGTAGACCCCATTTGCCTTTGACCACTCTGGACATATGTGGTTGCGGATCCACGCTTGTCTCAACAAGACGTGAAGCATTTTTAGGATTTTCGGGCAACGCTTGTAAAGAACGTACGGGACACCGTTCGGACCTGGGGCAGACTTGCCGCTGGCTTTTTTTCACAACGTCCTCAACCTCAGACCAAAGGGGAGGTACCATTTTAAATGGTACCTTCGGCACCGAAGGCTGTTTAAGACCGCTAAGGATCTCTGGATTGTCATCGAGAGGCTCTCTCCTCTTTTTATCCGAGTACATCTTGCGTAGATGTAGCTCTAGTTCTTCCTGACTGACAACCAGAGTCCCAGACTTCGGTTGCTCGAATAGACCTCGGGCAAACTGATACGGGTCCCTAAAGAATTTCTCTCGCTCCCTTTTGGTTCTACGTCTGTTGTTACAGAAACGCTCGGCGCGACAGAGGGCACTGTGTTTGTTCTTTAAATGCACCCACACTTCGTACAGCCCCTCCCGTTCGCTGCCCGTAGCGGCTTTGAACCGTTTTCTGAGGGCATTCTTGTCTGCCCGACACTTCAGAATGTCCCTCTGCCTCCTGCTAGTATTCTGCTTGGCACCCGGCTGTGCCTTTACTACTGTCCCGAACTCGCGGGAGCAGTGTTCATATATTACATCACCAAATTTAGTAAGCTTGTCGCCTAGCGACTTCTTGTTTAGAGTTTGTTTAAGTATCTCACATAATGTAGCCTCCAACTTACACCACACCACCTTCTCGCTCGCAGGTGGAAACCTGATCTTGGAACGCACTTCTTCAGAAATCATCAAAGGTGCTCCTCCGCAGTCGACGTCATGGGCCTCTCCGGGCGAGTGGGGTTCACCCTGCCCGTCGTACCCTGACGACTCAGAAACTACCACAGGAGTGGTAGTTTTGCGACGGCGTTTACTGCGTGGAGCACCCTCGCATTTCATTCTTCCGGCATGCGTTCTCAGACCATGCAACCCCGTGAAGCTTTTCCCACATGTACAGAGCCAGCCCGGACGTTGGGCGAGTGTCTCAGTCCGGGGGCTAGCAAGGTCGTCAACGAGGGTATCAATCAGATTGGGCCCTTCATTCTCCCCCCCCCCCTTTCGGAGGGCCCTGGGGCATATTTCATTGTGGTCGTACGAAATCGGAGGTATTATACTGTGTTAGGGGTGATCAACCCGGTCCACAGTCGACATCTGTCTCCAGATGTCAGTTTATCCCCCCGGCGATACCGGGGGGCCAGTCTTTCCAAAGGTGTCAAAAGGTCTTTCCCGATAGTCACCAGTCTTTCCTGGTAGTCTTGTGGGCTAGCCACGTACAATAAGAATAAACTCACAGGGAGCAAGTACAGCGGGGATCTACAGTCATCAGTAGAAATTATCCTCTTTCGACACACGTTTCGGCCCACGATTCCTAAACGTATTCGGAGGTGGGCCCACCTGAGTTCATGAAGCTGCTTCCCCGCTGCACAGAATTACCGGATGGTGTTATTATTTCGGCCAGAGACAAGACGACTTAGTGGTTTCGAAGGAGGTACTGTGAGATAAGAAGTCGCCGCGACAGCGTAATTAGAACAGTCCGCATGCCTGGACGACCGAGCGACAAGCTTACTTGTTTGAAGTTAGGGATCTTCAGGGACCAGAGGTCCGAGCCCCAGCATACAATTCAGTACAACAGGCAACGATCTGGAGCCACTCGCTAGGCCTCAGGGGTCCAGAATCTGATCACGAGTTGCCAGGTGAATAGCCATTAGCTGAAATCAGAGGCCCGGGGCCGAAAGAAAGCAGATGTCGCAGCCTAGCTGTAAATGTGCCATCCACCCTTTTGAGGCAAACCCAGAAGACAAAGAGCTTTTATAACGACGATATTTTTCTTTTTGATGTATTGAACTCAGTTACTGTGTTGTCTGGCGTGCAAAATTTTCTCAAAACACATTCTCTCACCTGAACTTCGATGTCTTTGGCGTTAAAATTTGACCCAAGATTAAACCTGTTTGAGTGAATAGAAGAGGAAACCACATCAGGAGCTAGGATTCACACACAACGTTTTAGTATTAGACTGCAACAGAATATTTAAGTAGTATAATTAATTAGAAAACAAAACAAAACAGTTGAGAAATGAGTACAGTGCTACGTAATATCAGTATGTCTTCAATTATACTTAGTTTAAGACATTTTCCGCAATTGTCTTTTGTATTTATAGATTTAATAATCGATATCATAGCACACCAGGCAAACCCATAGATGCTCCATCTCACGCAGCGAATGCCTTAAGGTGTAGATGCTACCTGCTCACGCAGGACACTGCTTTAAAAACACGCTGTTTATTTTTCCCTTGTCATTCGTCTCTCCTGGCCTGATCCACACCCAATTCTTAGTTCACACATTATGACTTATGTTACTTCATTTAACTTCGTGTCTTCTATCAACATTTGTTCATAAATGGTCTTTATAACTTCTCATTTCTCCAGTATCAGTGTTTCTGTTTCTTTCGCTTGTTATTTGAAAACAAATCTGAAAGAAAGCACACATTTGTATTTCGTCTCCTCTGTAAGGTATTTGTGTCGTAAGTCGCTATACTCTGCGGGATTAATAAGAATGGGATCATATCACTTATGAATGGTTTAAAGTGCAACTAGGATAAGCTGTAGACTAACTGACGTACTAAAGAACAAAACAGTTGTTTGCTTGTCGTGTATTTTTAAAACACACACACACACAAACACACACACACAGTTAGCCGCTGTGCTGTAGGTCGGAAGATCCTGGGTTCGGGTACAGTCGGAGCCAGACTTTTATTTTTTTAAATGACGTTTGCTCCCTGGTCGACTCAGTCTTAAATGGGTATGAGGTAGAGTTTTGGGAAGTAAATGCGGCCGGTGTGTATTGACTAGATAACCCACCAACTGATTGATCTATAAAATATAGGTCTAGCTCTATATAACCATTATGCATAAAGGCGGGGGAGATGGTCCTTTTCTTTACTTTACACACAGAGACGCACACAAACACACACACACATACACACACACACACACACAGAGAGAGAGAGAGAGAGAGAGAGAGAAAAAGAGAGAGAGAGAGAGAGAGAGAGAGAGAGAGAGAGAGAGAGAGAGAGAGAGCTGTACACAATCCTCATATGCCAGTAGATTTGTTACATAAATTTCAAAAAAAAAACCTTGTTTACTTACTTAAAATGTATGGTACTTTTTCTAATTTTCTCAATTCTCGCATTAGCATCAGTTTCCCAAATAGTGTCTTCTGGTATCTCCTTCAAACTGGCATCATCAAAATAGAACGAAACTTCTGGACCCGGTCCCTCGAGGTACAGCTCTGCACTAGTGTACGCTGAGAATATAAATGTCTGTGCAGTTGTAGCTTTTTTCTGTGTCAAATTTATTGAGACATATACAGCAACCATGTTATGAAATAAAATGTTGTCACTCCGTATATTCAAACCCGATTCTCATTAGAAGCAAAGTTTGAAGTGATTAGATAATACTGTGTATGCACATAGATCAGCCTCGGCCTAATAAAATTAGAGACAGATCAATCACCTTGTCGTGGGCAACTTGAACACAACTGATAGGTTTATGTACACTGTTGTGGAAGCTATCTCAGTGGACACATCCTCATTATCATCTTTCTTTTTCTGCTTTCGACTTTAACAGGGCGGATGGCAGGCTGTGTTGTCGTTTAACCGCATCGCAGCGATATGTGCTACTTTTGGCTCAGCCCATCAAATTATCTGTAATACACAGTCGTCCCCATGTGGGATGCAATTTTTCGTTCTTTGAAGCACCACCCTGGCTTCTGCTGGGGGCTATAAATATAGCCGGGCCATAAATATAGTCAAAACGGCTGAAAGGGGTTTATGGGACCTCTTCACGGGTGATCCTCATCTGCATGGTGACACTTTGTGTCACTTGGTGTTTATCGCTTTCGTGATTTCCTGATGGGGTACAACAAGAGAGAGAGAGAGAGAGAGAGAGAGAGAGAGAGAGAGAGAGAGAGAGAGAGAGAGCCATCCCATTGTGCAAAATTTATAATTTTGTTACCTCCCCCCCCCCCCCCCCCCTTTTTCCTTTTTTTTCTTAACAAATGGGCCGTCGGAACCAATACCGGCATCTAAGTCGCCCTGAGGTTTAACACTTCAATAGAATTTTCGTTTTCCAGACAGGATGCAATGCATGGTTCGTTTTTCTTTGATACTTTATGTCAGTACATGCCTGTTCCTGACTGATAGGATATCAGAATAAATCTATAACATTTAAGTTCACAAACCTCGACTTCCTTCTTTAATGGTCGCTAAATGAAATGCTAAATGGAAACTTTCATGATGTAGCGGCGAGACGCTCGGCTGCGGATTTTAATTAACTTGACTCCTAGTAAGTAAAGGTGGCCGGTTTTAAGTTGACCCCATCGCATATCGAGTGCTGATTGGTCTATACAATATACGTCTAGTCCTTTGTGCCCAAATTGCCTGAAAGCACGGAAACGGGTCCTTTTAAATTAAATACACAGACAGAAAGAAAAGAGATAGACAAAGTGAGACGATTCTTGGCCGTCTTTTGTCAAGACATGCAGGGGTGTCAACACATAATCTGATATACATACTGTTGAAGATCAAAAGGTGTAGACAGGCATGATCGCCAAAGCCTGTCGACAAGCCATATGATAAATAATGATGATGATGATGATGACATGAAATGCAAGCTGTCAACACCCATTACTCATAAAGTTCTGCAGTTTACACAAAGCCGGTGTTGCCATGAGAGGTGCCATAACTATAACTTATCTGAAGGTTGAATAGGTTATCTACCCAGGCAGTTTGCCACCCTGGTACAGATTTTATAGTCTCAGTGTGGTCAAACTATCAAATAGCAACCTTTTGAGGGGGGTGGGGGATGGAGGGTAAATGAAATACAATTAAAGCTCCACAAATGTGAAGATATGTTTTATTGTAACAGATTTGTTTCTGGAACCATCGCATGTTTGTCAGGAGGTCTGATATTGCGCACAGCTAGAATAGGTTGAAAACCAGCAAGCCTTAACAACCTTGACATTGCATTTCTAGAACCACCACATGCTTATTAGCAGAAGGATGTTATGTAAATGTATATAACCCAGAACCTAGAACCCTTTCACAAAGTTATCATCAGTAGAATTGAAGAGGCAGTTGATAACTAGTATTTGAAAAATGATGTTATTTTCTTGATGTTCTATATCAAAGAGAGAGAGGGGAGAGAGAGAGAGGGAGGGAGAGAGAGAGAGAGAGAGAGGTAGAGAGAGAGAGAGAGGGAGAGAGAGAGGGAGAGAGAGAGAGGGGGATAGAGAGTGAGAGAGAGAGGGAGAGAGAGAGAGGGAGGAGAGAGAGAGAGAGCGGAGGAGAGAGAGAGAGGGAGAGAGAGAGAGAGAGAGAGGGGAGAGAGAGAGAGAGAGAGAGGGAGAGAGAGAGAGAGAGAGAGAGAGGGGGAGAGAGAGAGAGAGAGAGAGATGGGGGGGGGGGCTTGTTGTAATTGCTTTCTAGTATTCAAGCTGCCAAACAAATGATTATATTCAGGTGCAAAGCTATCTGATGCAATCGATAAGCAGTTAGAAAATCCCATGTAGAGAACATAAATAGTAGACACATTTCAGCGTGCTGAAACCTTCTAGAAGAAGTAAGAGGGTAGAAAACACGTCCATACATCCCAATATCTCAGTATAAATAGTGGGTAAGAAACCATTTGAGCAACCTTCAGTCTACTAGACAGGCAGATTAGAGACTAGTAGCATAGACTCTCACATGTTAGGAAAACCTTTAGTCATTGGGACTCAGATGAAGAGGGACTAGTCATATTGACCATAGCAGCCGAGAACCTTCAGTTGTGGAGATAACAGCTCAACACTAGAAGGAGAGGAACTAGTAGCATGGAGCCTTAAAGACAGACACTAGAAAAGAGACATCAAACGAAATATCGACCTACAAAGACACCAAACAAGATACACTGATCGATTCTCAACAGAGACACATTTGATAGAAACATTAGTAAGATGATAGAGTTGACAGTCAAACCATTAGTTCCAGACACCACTAGAAGCCAGGTGGCAGCCATAATAAACAGAACTAGTTAAAAAAGTAACTATAGATGAAGAACACAACGCGGCACCAAGAGTATACAACTATAGAGAGAAATCAGCTGTCATTCAGAATACCACTGGGGATATTTATCACATTTAGAGATGGCAATGAAGATAGTACATTAAAAATAATGGTTGTTTCAACACATTTTATTATAAAGGCAGCAGAGTGGCATGAGAAGCATGTAACTAGCAAGACATCGTCATCATCATCACCCCCTATCGACACGACCATCTTTCTCTTTGTCTTTTTTTTTTTATCCAGAAACCATGAGTTGTTAACCCTTTGGCTCGGTACTATGGATATGCAACCCTTCGGTCTTGATTTCATGGTTGGTACCGTAAATCTAGGAGAAAATGTGGCTTTTCTGCCTACCCCCGGGAGTGAACCCGGACCACAAGTAATTCTTCACCTGGTCACCTTGATGTGACATCAACATACAGAAAAAAAAAAAGAGCTGTGATACAATACTTACGCTTGTTCGGAAAGAGAAAATCTGACCCCAGCTGCACCCATCCATCAGCGGGAGTCACACTTACACGACCTGTCAACTCAAAGTAATCTTTAGTGCCTGCAATACAAAATCTAAAGTTAGATCTAATTCATTTGAAAATACATAACCATTTAGTGAAACTGCTCAAATGTAATATAATCTTTAACGATCTGAAACGTTATGTCAGAACCCTTTCACAAAGTTATCATCAGTAGAATTGAAGAGACAGTTGATTCAATCATGAGAGAAGAACTAGCTGGCTTTAGAATTAAAGAAGTTGTCTGGATCAAATAATAACCTGAGACTAATTCTAGAAGAACACACTAAGAAGCAACAAAATCTGATCCAAAATTTTATTGATTTTAAGAAGGCTTGATAGCTTCTTGGAATTTCACTGTTGGGTATTTCGGAATACTACGGCATACCAGCCCAAATAATACGCATTATCAGAAAGGTATACGATGGTTCAGAAGTGCAGTAGAGCAGTGGGCAATTAAAATGGTCTAAGTAACTAGTGTTGGAAACTGGAGTGAGACAAGTCTGCAATTTATCTTCATTGTTTTTTTTTAAATGTTTTTTCTTCACCGCAACTATTTCAAATGATACTGGTTACAAATTATTTTGTAACAAATGTCAACCATTGATTATGTAAAGACATCAAAATGTTGATTACAAGTGACGAATTCAGGCCCAAAGAGTGACTTACCTTCCGCTTTGTTGCAGGGGTGTTTGCTTCAACGATCGGTAAGCATATATAGTGTTTGTGGGGGAGGGGGAAGGGTTGTGATGTCTTGAATCTATTTGAGGTACCGCAAGCAAATGTGTACCAGTAAGGAATATTGCAGGGGAAAGCACCGAAGGCCCGACGATTCGCGAGTATCGAAACTTAGATATTTTTGTATTTCTATCTTCGTTTATGATGGCTTCCCTCCGAGAGAGAGAGAGAGAGAGAGAGAGAGAGAGAGAGAGAGAGAGAGAGAGAGAGAGAGAGAGAGAGAGAGAGAGAGAATGCACTGACAAGGCACATAGGAATAGAAAAACATAACGGTTTCCGTACTCCCCAAGCGTCGCGCAGGTAGCAAAAAGTGGAAATAATCACGTAAGTCTGCGGTTACAAGACAAAGAAAGAGAGAGGTTTTGAAGCGTTGACAATAAGGAATACCCGACATTGCTGCAACATAGAAGACGCCCTGCGTTACAGCGATGCATTAATGGGAAGGTAAATCACTCTGTTTGTAGGCCCTACTTCGTTGTATGTTTCAAATCTTGCAAAGACGATACTGACATTGATTGGGTAGAGAAAAGGCAACTGGAAGATATGCATGTTGCAGATAATATCGTTCTGTTAAGTAAAAATAACAAAGATATGCAAAGAAAAACATATGATTTGTCGTCCACAGCATTAAAAATTGGACTACAAATAAATAATGAGGAAACAAATATATGAAAGATTCCAAAAACAGATCATGTAGATACCATGCTAGAGAACAAACCAGTAAAAGTTACGGACTATTTCACCTACTTGGGTAGCAAATTTGACTCTCTAGGAAAACTTTATACTCAGTGGCAAAGCAACAAGTCTTAAAAAGATGTAACAAAATATGAATAAAAAAAAAAAGAAGTCGTCAAATGGAAACATTAGGGGGAATATTATTATTAGACTCTAAAAATGCTGAGCTGAACACTATGTCAGAAATCGAGAGAGTTGCATGGGGAGTGAAGGGATCGAAT